GGTTAAAATGGTTACACAGTCCCTTTCATCAGCCATATAATTATTCCAAGCTTCATATTTGCACCATGCACCAGTCTTGAGAGTGAATCTTTGTGTAGTTTTTTTTTCCTCTTATTCTTTTCTATATGGGATTGGCGGTAATTGGTACTTGTTTTGAAATCATCTTGTGTTCTTGTTATTTACTGTTACCAAATTTCTCTTAGTGGTTGTTGTGTGCAGGTGTGGGTGGAACAGTATGTTGTGAAATGATGATTATTAGTTATAAAATTGACTCAATGAAGGGTTTTGTGCCACTTGTAACAAAGAGGCTTTCATACAATGTGAAATACAATATGAGATGATAATAGAATAAAGAGCACATCATATGAAATGATCTTATTCTGAATTGCCTAACTTGATATTTTAATTATCTTCTTTAGAAACTAAGAGAAATGGAGTCAGTTTGTAATACTCTCCGAGAAAATCTGTTCCAGTGTAGGCAAACTTTTAGGGTATGTTGAGAGTGAAGAGTTGAAGGGGCAGTATATGGAGTTATTCTAGGCAATTTTATGCTAAGACTCATTGTCATGGCCAATTAATCGATGTTAACTTCAGAGGGGAGGAGAAAAGTGTCTTCACTGGTTTGAAATATCTCTGACCTTGCAATGGTTTAGCATTGAGTACCTATATTCTAATGCGTTACCGTATTTGTGTTTAATATTACCACCTGTGACTTATAGGACCGTATACTCTTTTAATTATGATTGGTTTGTTCTAGGAATCCAGGCCGCCTTGTGCCTATTTACAAGCTGAAAATGATCGTTTGCAGGTGGAAAATGAAGAGGTATGAGACAAAGCATTTTGCGATCAAGCAGAAACACCATTTGTGTAGATCCTTAATTAGCAGATCCTAAATAACCTTTTGGCTCTCAGTTGAGGAACATTCAATCACTTCTGAAAATCCTTCATTGATTTTAATTAGACGCCCTAATCACTGTTCTTTTTTGCTAAATTACAGAAGAACAAATGAGACTAAGCCATTTTTGATATATTAAAACTCTAAAATGGTTCAAAGGCTTGGGGAAATAAAACAAAAGAAATCACGTCGAGGTTGAGCAATGAATTATTAATATCTTTTTTTATTCCACCTTGTCTCGGGGCCATGTTAAAATTATAAAGCATAAATAGTCCATCATTGCTGCAATCGTCCTGTAAGCGTCCATATTACCACAGCTTTAATCAGAGGTAGTTGTTGTTTAATCTACATCTAAGTAGGCTTATTTTCGAGTACAATTTAGTTTAATCAAATGGGTATTCAGTCTTCATATTAATATATTTACTTAAAGTTAGTCTTCTGAAATGCAATATGAGACAAATATCTTATTTTAGTTTAAGACTGTTAATGTTAACAAGAGTGATTGTCTAAAGTTAAGGTGAAGGTGAAGTTTGCTAACTTGAAGACTATTATTTCTTTCCTTTCAGTTGAGGAGACGTTTGAAAGAACAGGAGCTGTTAAATAGGATACTCGAGGTTTAGTTTGCACTTTGATTACTTCAGTATTGTGCTCTATATATCGTTCATGGAAGTAAGACATGTGAATCTAGGACTTGACTCAGCACTTTTATGCAGAAGCCTAGTTCTTCGCAGGGACCAATATTAATTGTGTAATAGTTACCGACATTTGATTGAATGTTTTGTGTTTACATGTATTTGAGTTTGGGTTTGGTTCGTGTTTTTGGGTTGGTTAATCGCAGCTCAAGGAGTGCCAAAATATTTTTTACTGGTAATTTGTATCTTCAATGCGTTCTTGTTGCACAAGAAACATTTTAGCATGGGGGGGGGGGGCAATTTCTTCCTTGACAATGTCATTCCTTGTGGTTCTCTGTTCTACAGTACAATACAATACAATGTTCTTTATTTCAAGAGGGTAACTACATGATTAACTCAGTAAAGAGTTGTTCTTCTTTTCCCTATTTAACTGTACAGGAGTGGTAGCACTCCGAAAAGAATCTCCATAACTCTCGAAATTAATAAAAGTTAAACGTCTGTGTATTGATTGTTTCAGGAGAGTCGCCTGATGCGGTTATCGCTGGCCATACGGTCGAGGTTGGAAACAAGGAGAGCAGATGATGTTGCTTCTGAAGGAAGCAGTGCAGCTGTAGAGGAGGACAACGCGTCTGATAATAGCATTGTAAGAGCAATTCTTAAGCGATCGGTAATTAATTCGTAGCTGTAGTGCGTAAACGACGGGATTTGGCATCAAAGTGGCTGGTGTTACACAATATCCAAGCTGTTTGGCGTTACCCTATTTGGTACTTTAAAATTCGGAATATTATTGATACTGGTGCTGATATAGCCGGGAGCTCGATGTTAGATTAAACCGAGGGTATCTTTAATTGAAGAAACGAGGTTATGTATCCATATTAAACCTTTGTACTCAGCTGCATTAATTTAGAGATCTTTTACCGAATTTCTGGATACTCTAATGTAAAAGGTTTTAAAAACGTTCGTGTATCCTTACTTTGACGAAAAGTGACAATTGTCTCTTTGAGCTGACTAGACTACAGCTGCAGCTTTTCTTAATGAATGAGCTAAAATATAGAAGTTTATAAGTTTGCTCCTCGAGAATTTTTAGTCCTTATTAATGAAATCAAATAGTCATTAACTCCATATTTCCAAAGAAATAATGTTGAAATTTTCAATTAGTTTTGTTTTATCTTTAAGGAGGAGGTTGAACTAGATGTTGATGAGCAGCCAGGACCATTTCCCCAAGAGTCAGGTAAATTTTCAGCAGCTATAGCGGATTAAATGTCAAAAAGAGTTAAAAAGTTTTTATACAAGACGTTGAATTTTCCAAACTACTAATTATTATTATTCAGGGTAACCGTTAAATTATTTTTCTAATCTGTTGAAGTTCTGATTTGCCCAAAATTAGAAAACTAGTCGCTAGGCTCAACACAAACGAGAGAAATTTGATAGTGACTTCGTTTTAGCGGTTTCTGTAACATGGAATGATCAGGGCTATTGTTTCTCCCCTGCGAGGGAATGATAACCTAGCATTGCAGGTTACTCCCCAGCATTTTATTTAATAGGTTCCACTGAGCTCCCTGAAGTGCGAGGCTCTGGGAAAACCAGTAGTGCGCCTATATCCACTGAAAGATTTTGTTACATGTGTGAAACGTTGAGGGAAGTTTAAAATTTACTTATCTTTTGTTAAAGACTCGGAAGATTCCGATAATGACGAGTTCTATGAGGCACGCGATGACTTGTTCCTGTGAATGCAACGTGGAATACCATCTTTGCTCCGGACAAGTTTATTGGCTGAGGAAATTAGTTAATATACACGTCGGTTTTCACTTGTGTTAAAAACTAGACGCATACCTGCAGGTGCTCAAAATGGCACCTCTAAGCGCAGTCTACATCCAGTTTTCATGCACATTTCACGTGGAATTTATCCCAACCAGTTTTTTTTTTTAAGCCTACTTGTAAAAAAAGTAACCATATTTGTGCTCTAGAGCCTCGACAAAGATTTTTACCTAAGGCCTTCTATGGAGTGCTTGAGTAACACGTGCCATTAGTTTTTGTTAATATGTATTTGATACTTTGTCCGATAACTGCATCAAGGTTTTGTGATTTCTTGTACATATTCGTAGATTAATGGATTGTATGTGGACATTTTTAATAATGGATGATTATCCCAAAAATTGAAAAAAAATAGCGTCCAGATTCATGGAGAAAAGCAAAGATTACTTTTTTCTTATTTGGAGCATCAATTTTGAATTGCAATTTGGCGATTTCATAGATGAATTGAAATGCACAAAAATGCCATCTATGACGTTGCGGCTTTTAAATCTTCATCCCAAGGAGGCAAGCCAACCATATCGACTATAATATATACATAAGTATGAACATATATCGATTTTAGGTAACATATATATATATAAACATTATACCTAGTGAGATTTTAGAGACAAATACAGCAGACGTGAAATAGTTCTTTGATATATCATGTATGGTAGAAAGTAAATAAATGGGTATTTGTAGATGTATTTATGATGGACAGTCGAGGGACATTTAGCCAATAGCCGTTTTAAGAATAATTTGATAGTAACATGTTGACTTAAGTACTGATTTTATGTTAACGGTTAAAGTTTACAATATCACTACAATTAACGGTAAAAGTTTATAATATCACTACAACTATTTTTCTCGAAATTTAGTGTCTTAAGCAGTCGACTGTATATTTTTTTACCCATTTGGCACTATTTCAAGTATGAAGCAATTGATAAATTAAGGTGTCGAAAGTTGAGATATTTAAAATAAAGATAGGCTTAAATAAGATGTTTTTAAAACTGTTACACGTCCCTGGATATTTGTAGATGTATTTATGATGGACATTCGAGGGACATTAAGCTAATAGTGGTTTTAAGAATAATTTGATAGTAACATGATGTTTACTTATTGAGAGAGCGCAAATTCTACGTAAACGGTAAAAGTGTCCAATATCGCTACAACTATTTTTCTCGAAATTTAGTGTCTTAAGCAGTCGACTGTATATTTTTTACCCATTTCGCACTATTTCCAGCGTGAAACAATAAAGTGTCGAGAGTTGAGATATTTAAAGGAAAGAGGCTGAAATAAGATCTTTTTAAAATGGTTACACGTCCCTGCTGGACCCTAAACTGAGCTTTAGTTGTTGTTGTTGGTTTTTTTTCTTGTTTAAAACAAATTAAAATGATATCTGTACACCGTTTGGAAGTGAATTTCTTGATCTTGAGCAGTTACTAGGCTATGCTGACCTCTTTATCTTGTTTCTGGAAATATCCGTCGTGCTGTATGAAAGACAAAGAACAGTCTTCAATGTTTCAGTCAGTAAAAATTGTTGCCACGAGAAAAATCAAGTTTACTCACTAGAAGTTCTGAACCGGCTGCTAGTATCAACAATTGTTACGATGTCGTGTTGACTGGCAGCGGAAAAGCCACAAACTCTCCCAAGCCTCTTAAGGGCACGGATGTAAGATGCCCTGTACGGACGAGACAGACCACAGTACACCCAAGGATTGAACATAGAACACAGAAGAGACATCTGGGCCGACAGGGACTGGAGAACCTCGTGATGATGACCTGTGGCTAGCTCTTCGGTGATAGTAAACTGTGGATAAACCAACCGAGAATTATTTTGTTATGTGCCAACTCTGACGGCTTGAATGAAACAAAAATTCGTATAAGTTTTTATTGGTCGACCTTTTGCCCCCCCCCCATCCTCCCCTTTTCGTTTCACACTACCCCTCTTTCCTGACATGAATGAAATGTTTCTCGGCTAACTGGCGTGTAGCCTACAGAGGAGGTGTCATTTTGTTGGGCTGGTGCTCAGTATTCTTTTGTTGAAAAGCCATTTTTTTTATTTTTCTAGTAGAGAAAGGCTTGGGAGAGTGAAATTTGTAACAAAGGGGTGAGCGACGGTCAAAAAGAAGGAGAGGGAAGGGGTGGGACAGGAAATATCACTTTTTACCTTTCTCAGCCCCCTGCCCCCAGAGTCCACTCTAGCTCCAAATCAAACATGGCCGATTGAATAAACGATCGCGAGCTTCTCACCGTTAACTCGCCCCAAGACTCCTGCACTGCAGGCTAACTGGCTACAAAAACGAAATGTAAATGCATTAAAGGGAGGCTTACAATGATTGGCATCCAGCTGACATAGAATAGAAATACCGCTGATCCAAGAACTTTTGTGAACTGACGGCTCTCTTTCACATGCCTGTTGACGCGGAACCGACTGACACCATGATCTGATATTGATTCCCTGCTTCTTCTTGTATTTTGTTCGTAGTTTTCCTGTGTAATTTTGTCGCTGTCGTCGTCTTCTGCCGATACACTCGTTCCTCTTGTGGTGTTGTATGTACTTTCGCTTTTGCTATTACCGTGAATGCCATTTTCTTCAATATTTGACATTCGCCTTTCACTTGCTGTTTGCATTTCCACAGCTTGTAGCCTGCCATTCAGAAAGGTCAGCGTCCTACCTCGTCGAAGCCCACCGAATCGTTTTTCATATTTGTTCATTTTTCTTGCAACGGCGACGAAACAGGACAGAACAATTAAGAGTTGAATATATCCTAATATGGCAATAAATTGAGCGAAGCCTCCGTCGAAGTTGAACGAACAAACTCCCCTGTGAGTTAGAACTCTTCCCCAGCCCATCGCGGGAAACGCAGATATAAATGCCGCTGACGACACAACGCAAAATATTAGTTTGGTAACCTTGTCACATGTGACTTTGGTCCGATAATAGATCGGCTGTAAGGTTGCACAGAAACAGTCTAGAGCCATTAATGACGCCACAAACGAAGCTGACAAGCGAAGAAAAGAAGAAATCCAGTTATAAAACTGGCACAGCTCGTAACTTATGCGTCCACTCTGAAACCCTCGGTGATCGATTTGAAACACAACGATCGATATTAAGACAGGTCCTAAGTCATTTAAAAGATCTACAACAGCTAATGAACCAACAAGGAGATCAGGAACTCGTCGGACGCGGAATGATTTGATCGCAACTAGAAGAAGAACATTTCCAATAAAAATCACGCAGAAGATGATTGGCAAGATGAACAGAAAGCCCCTACTGTATTGACCTCCTTTGTCAATTGTCATATCCGACCGTTCATAATTAGTTCCGTTCATTGCGACTGTTTTAACACCTCGAATAGAGCGTTAAATGAAACATCTAGAATGCAAAGCCTAAGCTTTTGCATGAAATAATACTTTCCAGAAAACCACGTCTTCTTGGATAAACTTGTCGCTGTTTTCTAATTTTCTCTCTAAAAAGAAAAAATTGAAATGAAATACAGGTTTAATAAAATAATGCCTAGTTATTCGAGAAAGAACTATTCTGGAAAAGCTTTAGCAATGTAATGAACGGTGGGACAAAATATCTTATAACTAATTTACCAATTTGAGAACAATATCAGGTGGATCGTTTTGTTTTGGCGTTCACTTCCATTTTTGCAATCAGATTATTATTAGAACTAAAGACAGAATTGCGAGCTATTTAAGAAACATTTGCTTATTATGATTTGGCAATTTTACTCCCAATAGGCCCGAAATGTAGCCAAAAACAAATTACAATGTACGTTACCGTATGAATTTATGATGCCTTTCAAGAAATTCTCAGAAATGATGATTTTTTTCAAAATGATCCAAAGACTGAGTTGGCATCATCCATCTGCCATCATTTAGCCGAACGTTTCAATCCACGGGCTTGAGATAACTTTAGACAGCTGTCTCGTAATCAAAACTTGAACTCTGCTCGTCATGAAAGTGCGCCTTTTTACGTAGGTCCTTAGCTTTTTAGTGATTCGAGGTTTAGTTCTTTAAATTTTAAGTACCCGCAGAAATCAAGACACCGTAACATTGTCCAAATTCAAGAAGGTTCAATCGTTTGAATAAATCTCTATCTAATGAATGCAGTAGCTGTTTGTAGAAGCCAAGGTGAAAATCAAGGAAATGTCAACATAATCTTTTTTGTCATGTACAGCACTTACCATAACAAATCAGACGAGATTATTTTTCCTCCTTTTCAATTTTCACTTCAACGTCACCACCGTGGGCATTCTATTGCAAGAAATACATATCTTTACCGCATTCGTCAAAATCGGAACAATTTTATTCTGTCAGCCTCCGAAAATAAAACAAAAGAAAAAAAGTCACGTTTTGTTTGAAATATATCCTTTATGTTTTAAGAAAGTAAACAATCCTGTCAATTTTTCCTTCGTGTACTGTTTAATAAGTTGTAACAGACATTGATAGGAAGAGTTACAAAAACTAAGGTAAACATAATTTGGAACGACTTAATTTACATCTTGACTGGTTGACTTTAGACTTTATTCAAACTTGGAAGGGGGGATTATGAGAAACCTGGCAATCCACGGGGAGCCTGCAGCGCGCGCACACACAGGGGTCGAACGTCTGCGCACGTGCACTCAGATCATAACACTTTCTTATCGAAAACCCGAGTGCGACTTAATCTTTCTCAGTTTCTAAGGAAAGTTCAAATTTTCTAAGGCTAAAACTTAAAGAAGTTGTTGTTCTATAGTTTCCCTACAGCGTGTTAGTTTACACCTTCATACTTTTATTTTACATTTTGTTTTTCGGCATGTTGAAGCCGCCCGTAAGTCTGACTTTGTTAGCTGTAGCTGTTCTATGTTATGTTAGTGGCGGAGTTGCCGGGAAATACCGAGAGAAATGTGCTAAATCAGGAAAAACTAGAGCCTCAAAAGACGTATGGGACAATGGAAGCTCCATGTTTAATGTAGACAGATGACTGGCAAGAGCTGCAGGTGTGGAGAAAGGTTCGATCATTTGCCTTCGTCACCGAAACGAAGCTAATAAAGCTGACAAACGAATTCCCCCTCGAGACACCCCAGTTATCTCATACGTCTTCTCTACTCCACCTACCGGAACGACTCTATCAAGCGGTGGATAACTTTGGCAGAAAAACATCAGCTATTTATCAGCCAGGAACAGTAACGTGTTCGCTAAGACCGACAATGAAGAACCAGAGTCTCTAAACACAACATTTAATCTTGTAAGCCAAGTACACATCGAGTGAAGTGACGAATACATCCGGGAACTCAGACGTAGGCTAAACTGTATAAATGAACTTAACATACATAAATTAACATCGTTACATCCCCCTCCGTTGATCAAAGAGAAAAAATAAATAAGTGAATAAACAAGGAGAAACCTAAATCGTTTCCTAGAGTCATTGTTCGGAGAAAATAAACAACATAGGTAAGTGTCAGCATGTATAGTCACTGAGGTGTGCTGGTCTTCGTATGACTCTTCCCCGAGCGCTACGTCTTTCTGGACTCGTTTCGTCAGCATCTTGAGGGTTCGGTGTTGCTTGTGGCCTGCCCACTTCTTGGGGCTTTGATTCAACGACTGGTGGTACCTGTTCAACTTTGGTCGAGGGCAGGGGACCAGGTTCGGAGCTAGGTATCTTCATGTCAGGAGGCAATTGTTTAGGGAGTTCAGCTGTGAGACGCAGGTGTCGGCGGTTCATGCGATACACCCGTCCGTCGTCAATGGTAACTTGGTATGAGCGTACACCAACTTGCTTCTCAACCGTTGCTTGGGTCCATTGTTGTTTATATTTGGGTGGATTGATACGTACGGTGTTCCCTGGCTCAAGTGGCCGGAGTTCTTTGGTGCCATTGTTGTAATAGAAGGCTTGTTTGTTCTTCTGGGCCTGAAGAAGCTGGGAAGTGGTGTCAAATTCAGGTTGTGTTAGTAGTCTCCCAGAGGTAAGTAGGAGGGTTTTGGTACGGCGGCCAAAGAGGCGCTGAGCTGGAGACGTTCCTAGTCCTTCAGTGGGGGTGTTAGGAAAGTCAAGGAATCCCAAGTAGGGATCAGTGCCAGCCTCTGAGGCTTTCAGCATGATTCGCTGCGCAGTCTTTACCGCGTTTTCCGCCTTGCCATTTGACTGCGGGTAGGTGGGGGAGCTTGTTACATGATCAAACTCATACAAATCTTTGAACGTCTTAAATTCCTGTGAGCTGAACTGGGGGCCGTTGTCGCTTACTAACTTGTCCGGGATTCCATGTCTTGCCATACGAGGCTTGGACTTTTCAAATACTTCTTTAGATGTCTCACTAACAAGTTTATCCACTTCAAAGAAATTTGAGTAATAGTCAGTGGTGACAAGGTAGTCCTGGCCCTGGAGCTCAAAAAGATCAACGGCAAGGACCTGCCACCGTCTCGAAGGTATTGTGTGTGAGATCATGGGCTCCCTCTGCTGCCCTTGGTGGTATGAATTGCAGACTTGGCACTTGGAGACATGTTCTTCAATCTCTTTGTAGATACCAGGCCAGTAGAACGCTTTCCGTGCCCGTCTCAAGCATGCTTGTACTCCCAGATGACTGGAGTGTAGCTTTCTTTTGAGCTCAGCTCTCATTTGAAACGGTATGACAACGCGGTCTCCTATGATAATAACTCCATTTTGGAGAGTAAGTTCTTCTTTGAATGGAAAGTAGTCTTGAACTTCCAGTGGTAGACAGAGCTCTACAGTGGGAGACCTAGTATCTGAGACTGTCATGACATCTTCCTGATCCTCAGTGGCTTCCTTAGGTGTCAGATACGCGCGACTCAGGGGAACAGCCATAAGAAAGGAGGTTCCCTTTTTGTAAGAGACTTCAAACTCGTAGCGTTGGAGTCTAAGGAGCATTCGTTGTAGCCTTTTGGGTGCGTTCAGGAGGCTTTTCTTGAAGATTGCCTCCTAGGGCTTGTGATCAGATTCGACCAGCACTTTCCTTCCATAAACGTAGGTTTCAAACGTCTCCATTCTGAATACTATGGCCAGTAACTCTTTTTCGATTTGTGCGTACTGGACCTCTGCGGGGGTCAGGGACCTGCATGCATATGCGACTGTATGTCCGTCTTCCATTAGACATGCTCCCAGGCCATGCATGGAGGCATCACATTGCAGTGTGGGTGTGGCACTTGGGTCAAAGTATTCTAGGACTGGAGTCGTCAAGAGGATCTTCTTTGTCTCTTCCAGGGTTGCACCATGAACCTGCTCATCCCATTGGAACTCGTTGTCGTTTTTGGTGAGCTCGTGTAGAGGAGTCGTGACCTCTGAAAGTCTCGGAGCAAACATTTGGAGGTAGTTAGTCATCCCTAAGAGACGTTGGATGCTCTGTTTGTCAGTCGGTGCTGGCATCTCTTTGATTGCCTTGACTTTTTCAGGGTCAGGTTGCAGCCCATCTGCAGAGAGCACGTGGCTCATGTATGCGACTTCCTTGAGCCTAAGCTGCAGTTTTCCCCTGTTTAGCCTCACACCTTTTTCTTTGCAACGTTGGAGGAGAGCAATGAGTTTGTCGTCGTGGTCTTTTACTGCTTCATCATCGTTAGCTCCACATCCAAATACAAGGATGTCATCAGCGATCGCCTTGCATCCATTTAGCCCTACTAATGTCTGATCCAGTTTTCGCTGGAATTCTTCAGGGGCTGGTAAGATGCCAAATGGCATTCGAAGTCATCTGTATCTACCCCACGGAGTGCCAAATGTAGTTGCGTAGCTGCTTTCCTCGTCTAAGGACACATGCCAAAAACCATTTTTGGCCTCTAACACAGTAAAGCATCTTGCCTTTGAGAGCTCAGGAAGGACATCCTCGATTGTGGGCAGAGGATAGTGATTGCGTTTGAGGGCTTGGTTAAGTTGTTTGGGGTCCACACACAGTCGGACATTGCCATTCTTCGTCAGGGTGACGACAGTTTCTGATATCCAGGAGGCAGGGACATTTACTGGTGTGGTGATGTTAAGGCCTGCCAAGCGATTCATTTACTCTGTTAGCTGTTCTTTAATGGCGATCGGCACCTTTCTTGTTGGGAGTTGAACTGGTGGTACGTTCGGGTCAAATTCTAGATGGAGGTCACCTTCCAACTTTCCTTCTCCTCTGAATACATCAGCATATTCTTCGAGAATAGATTCTGTCGTAAGTGGTGTTTTGCTCTGCAAAGGTTCTTCAGATTGAATAGCCATCACGTTTTGTCGGACCACAGATGTGAGTTGCATTTGCTTGCTGGCTCGTAAACCAAGCAGGGGCTTGCCTTTCCCTTTTACAACTACAAATTCCACGCTATATTTTCTTCCATTTCTAGAGTTCACAACTTGAACACGTTTCTTGCCAATTGGCTTCTCCTCCGTTTTGTTGTACATGACAAGAGTTACTTTTGTATTGTCCAGCAGGGGTAGACTGTCTTCACCGTATACTTCTTTGAAGGATTCTTCGGGTAAGATGTTCACTGTGGCACCAGTCTCCGGTTGGAATGGGACTCGGTGACCATTTAACAGCTTTACCGCAAGCAGTTTGTCTTTGTGATTAGGCTTTTCCACAGCACAGACTTGTTTCTTGACGTCGACACAACTAACACATTCATCCAAGTCAGAGTCTTCCACTGCAAGCACTGGCTTGCGGAGATGTCTCGGTGTGGGGCGTTTGGAGAACGTTGCCAAACCGGGTGGAGACAGTTTGGTTTTGCAGGGCACCGCAAAGTGGTTTTGAATTCCACATTTAGAGCAAGTCTTACCCCATGCAGGACATTTAAGCTTGTTCCAAACATGTGTTTTGGCACAGAACGTGCAGCGGATTTCTCTCTCTCCTATGGGGGGCGGAGGTGTCTTCTCGTTGGCCTGACTAATGGCGCTGACTTCCTCCTGATTAATTTCTTTCAGTTGTTGGCTTGCGGTCTCATATGATCTTCACATATCAATGCATTCTTTCAGTGTGAGGTTGGAGACTTGTAGAAGCTTCTTGCGTGCTTGATAGTCTCTTATTCCAATGACAATCCTGTCTCTAACTAGACTGTTTTCTAACACTCGGAAGTTACATGTCTTAGCCAACGTGCGCAGTGCCGTGGCGTAGGCATCCAGAGATTCGTTTGGCCCCTGGTCCCTTTTGTTAAATCGATATCTCTCGTATATTTCGTTCGTCTCTCCGATGCAATAATACTGTAGCTTTTGGAGAGCAACATCAATGTCCTTCTTATCAGTTTCATTCGAAAATTCTAAGCCTTCGTACACATCTAGTAGGGTTTTCAGGATTTTTCAGACGTGCAGCAATTTTATAGTTATTCTAGGCACGGTAGAATTGCTACCAGTTCGTCGCCAAATCCCCTGAAAACTCCAATTTTGAGGGCAATGGGATGTTTATTGGGATTTGTACCAGATTTGGCTGTGCGATGGCTTCTTGTGCTTGCACAGAGGCGCTGCTACCCTCGGCCCTACTTAGTATCTACTTAGTATTTTGAAGTTAATTAGATTTCTTCAGCTGGGATTTCCTTCCAAAGACACAAGACAATTCCACTTACCGTTGTCTTTCGGTATTCTTCGTGAAGAAGTTGTCGGGTGGCTGTTGCGGAATACAGTAGAGACCGGAGAATGTCCTTTTGAACAACAGTTCACAGGTCAACCGGGATCGAGATGATTGACCACGTGCGTGCGAGTAAATTTCTATCAAGAACGCTTTCCGGTACACTGAGCGGTAATTCCGCGATGGCAATGGATGTAGGAACCAGAATCCCATTCCTGACACCATGTAAGGTGTTCACTAAGACCGACAATGAAGCACCAGAGTCTATAAACACAACATTTAATCTTACAAGCCAAGTACACATCGAATGAAGTGACGAACACTTCCGAGAACTAAGACGTAGGCTAAACTGTATAAATTAACTTAACATACATTACATCGTTACAGGAACGAAGTGGTGCAATAATTGCCGCAAAACTGGAGAAAGTATCCTCAATTAAAGAGAGTCCCAGAACAATGGAAAGCACCAGCGAAAAGATAGGTACATTTGTGGTATTGCTACAATTGCCTCTGGGAATGTACAAGTAAGATTACTTGTTCATTGTTACCTATTTCCTTAGTTGCACATGTATTAACACTTATCACAAATATTGCAGCGTGAATCTCCTTAGTCCAAAAATACAACATGAGAAAAGGCTTTCTCCAAAGACGAAACTTTCTAAGGTAGCAGTGCTTTGTTTGTTATTTTATTATTGTTATTAATATTATTATTGTTATTATTATTATTATAACAGAGGAGTTAGTTATTATAGAATTTTTTCTCATCAAGCTAATTGCGTATCTCTTTTTTTCTGTTTTCAAAGGGGGAAGTGGCATTTGAAATAATACATGCAGACTCACTCTAGATTCTTTTCCTTTTGATTTTTGGTCCTCCTTATTTCCTACAATAATTGCAATTTGGAAACTTATCATGCTAAGTCATCATCATTCCCATTTTAAAAATCCCACCTTTTTCTAGATATGCAGTATTTCTAAATTCCAGTAATGAGACTGTGTGATCTAATACAGAAGGCAAAAGAGAATCTGGGTAAGGATTCTGCATCTCTTGTAAGGCTTTCAGCCATCTTGGGAAGTTTGAGAGGAACATGAAAATGCCTTTTTAAAGAATGGACAGTGCATTTGGGTTACGCAGTATCATGGAGACTCACTATGGCAACATTGTGATGGATGACAGTGGTAATGTGAGGGTGGATAATGGTGTGTGGGAAAGGAGCTTTGCTGTAGTACAAGAGCTAGATTGTTTTCAGGGCAAATGTTGCTGATGGAACAGTCCTATTCTTATTTTTTAACAAGCATTAGCTGCATTTATATCCAAGGGAATAAGTGCCTTATGAATTCTCGATAGCACAATTGACGTCTCCCATATCTTCCTCTCCAGAAAAATCATTTGAAAAGCTAATACTACAGTTTCAGTCAGCCCTCTATGAGTATTATGAAGAGGAACAAGGTCCCCCATGTGCACCCCCAAGCTGATGAGATACTTCATTGCACAGCATGCTGATGGATTCTTTGACATCCTCCTGAATTCTGTCATCAAATTGCAGAAAGGACTTCAAAGAGCCGCTGAAAGAGCAGTAGCTCTACTCCACATCATTGCCTATTTTTCAGTAAAAGTTTCCCTTCATAGACCTTTTTAGCTTGTAGATTTTGTTTGTCCCATTTTGGACCACATGATGTTACCCTGGTCAGTCACTGCTTTCAAATTCTCAATTATTTGCATTTGTTTGGAAAGGGTTAAATAGGCAAAATATTGAATTGTTGAATTGCTGAATTAGTGGGTCGAGTTAATGATACAAATTTTACACTTCAATTGTTTAGAATATTAGTCTATAAAAGTTGTCAGAATCTCAGACACACAAAGTGTCTTTAATATGAGTAGGTAAAAAAAAACCTCTACTTTTCACAAAGGCATGTGTAAAAGAAAACAACTGTGTAAAGACATAGAGTACGTCTGTTACTGTACGTCTTAGAGAAGGCACTTCCAGTAGTCTTTTTCCAGTATGGTGCGGTATTTAAATCTAGAAAGTTTGAGGATTATAAGTCCCTTATATTTCGATTTCTTATGCTATTCATCATCTGGAACCGTCATCACTATGATCGATCTACACTTACAATTTTAAATGATCTGTGTCACCTAAGAAACTACTTCCTTGACTATTTATCTTGCCATGACGTAAAGAGTTTAGTTTAGTTTAGTTAATGAGATTCGCCGACAGGCAGGGACACCGCAACAGCTTGCGCCAATTACTGCGGGCCTAGTAAAGCCACCCATCCCACCCCAGGGGAGGACATCCATCACACAGTAATCTCGTGCGTGGGAAATTAACGTCTCCTACCCCTAACCCTGCAGGAGACGGGACCTCCATTCATTCTTCCCTATCCGAGAAGACTAGAATATCTAACCATGTCTTGATGTTATAGAAAGGTAGCATATTCTCCTCATTTTTATTTTAAGACCTTGAGTGTTGGTCCGGCCGGGGCTCGAACTCTCGACCTCCCGCTCAACAGTCCAGCGCTCTATCCATTGAGCTAACGGGAGAGAGGAGAATGGAAATGGAGAAGGTAATGCGAAAGCGTGATTGCGTGCGTAATCTCATTTGTGCGCGCTAGGTAACTTGGCTACCCTTTTAGCATTGAGTAATGAAAAAGCCAAGGAGAGAGTAGAGGAGTTTGTTTATTTTTTCAGAAAGCTGAGATCAACAAATTTAATTATGGTTTGACAAGGTCCTCATTAACAAGATAGTTAGAAGGTTTAGTTATGATTTCGTGCCAGTTCAGTGTAGTCTCCTGGAGTTCATTTTCCTAATATTATCATATTTAGGGTGCACTGAAATTTCCATATGAGATAAAAAGTACATAACAGAGCCAAAAATTAGGATCTTTTTCATTGAAGCAAAACCGCGAACCACATCAGGACCAGGGACCACAGCAGTGAAGTTAGGAGGAACAAAACTCGAGAATGAATTGAAACGCCTGATGACCCAAGAAAAGCTGCAATAACACGTGAAATGGTTAGACTGTGCCTTATATTTATGCTGCGGCAATATTTACAACACAATCAATCAATCACAAACTAACAAATGAAGCTGTCTTTAAAGAGGTAATTGTTTGCCGCCCCAAATAACTTCTAAGGCTAAAGGCTGATAGTTTCTAAAGAAACTGTCTTGGGCTGCGTCGGTGGAGGTAAGGAAATAATTTGGATATATCAACAAAGTTGAAATGGTAAATTGGCCACCGTAACGATTACAAAAGCTGACGTTTCGAGCGTTAGCCCTTCGTCGGAGCGAATAGAGGAATTGTGGGTTGTGTTTGCTTTTGAAGGCAGAAAATGGAGCTACGTTATTGGTGGGAACATGGCAACGAGAAAAACACGAATAAATAAGTGGAATGAAAAGCGTTCGTTGATCCCTGTGGGATTTAGACTGCCGGTTTGAAAGATGAGCTTTTGTTCAAGAGTTTTCCGGCTTTCCGTGCTACCTAAGTGTAAGGAAAGACCGCAGATTGCCATATGTTGCTTAGAATGATTAGATTGCCATATGTCTAATCAACATATGGCAATCTGTGGTCTTTCCTTACACTTAGGTAGCACGGAAAGCCGGAAAACTCTTGAACAAAAGCTCATCTTTCAAACCGGCAGTCTAAATCCCACAGGGATCAACGAAGGCTTTTCATTCCACTAATTTATTCGTGTTTTTCTCGTTGCCATGTTCCCACCAATAACGTAGCTCCATTTTCTGCCTTCAAAAGCACACACAACCCACAATTCCTCTATTCGCTCCGACGAAGGGCTAACGCTCGAAACGTCAGCTTTTGTAATCGTTACGGTGGCCAATTTACCATTTCAACTTTGTTGATATATCCAAATATCTTCTAAGGCTAGTTTACTTATAACAGATGATGGATGAAAAATCAAATGTCATTGATCTTTAGGTACGTTTAGGTATTCAGTGTATGAGCTACGTCTTTCTACAACCAATAACTTCTGCATAGCCAGATGGCAATCATTCTTAAACTTTGTATGTGTATCTAACAAATGTCCATCTTGTCATAGTGGCTAGAGTTGGCGTAGAAACTTGTAATTTACTACGAGAGGCAACAGGATACGATCCCATCTCATTATATTCTATCCCGTTCCTTTCATTCCTCCATTTCCCTATCCTATCTTATCCCATCTCTTCCCTTTCTATCCCAATCAATGTTAACTCATCCTTTGTTACCCTATTCTACCTCAACCCATCCCATTCTTTCACTTCCAATTTCATTACCAACCTGCTTGACACGCTAGGTCTGGGCCCAGAGAAAAGCCCCTCTTGCACAGACACTTTCCTGCCTGACAATATGAGTTTTCTTCACACTCTGGAAAGCAAATTTCTGTGGACAACGATAATAAGTTTTAATGGCTTTAATACTTGTTTACAGTGGACACCAAAGATATATTTAAAAGCTTGAGCTTACTTACCTCAGCTCTGTGGTAGAAAAACACGTTTTCCCTGGGGGTGAAATCAGAAAATGAATGGGAAGCATTACCTGAACAAGTTCCATCTGGTGCTTTTCGATAACCGTCTTTACAGGGACATTCATAACTGCCATTTTGGTTCTTACACCTTGAGAACTTGGGGCAGTCATATCTGTCTTCCTCACATTCATCAATATCTATGTACAACATAAAAGGACAAATATTTTTATCCATTTTTCTGTTCAAGATTAAGTTGTCATTGATACGAATGAATAAATCGAGGAAGACCCTTTAGAGAAGATTTCCTACTTAGAGGAAATGGGTCGATATGTTTCCTCTAACAGGAAGAATACCATAGGTCCTCCATGGAGTTGTACCATGAGGTCACAAGTGAAAAAATCATTCATGAATATTTAAGGAAAGAAAGATCCTCGCAGATGGGCTGCAATTTTCGCAATTGCGGAAAATAGCTGGAAAATTAAAAATTTCAGGTTTCGACGAGATTCGAAACCTGTGCCATCCAGATACTAATTGATGCTGCAACAAAGAAAATTAATTAATGTCTTATACCCAACTAGCAGCTGTGAATCTCGTCGAAGCCTGAATATATTCTAGCTTATGCTAAAATTGCACTCCAATTGCTAAGATCATTCCTTCGCTTGATTCTCATCCACAGGTCAAATGGAATTTATTTCAATTCACGTTATTTTTAAATATTTAATGAAACAACATTTTCCGGGTCATGTCGGACGCTGATTTGACACTTTTAGCTCAGTTGCTACGTAACAATGACAAAGTCGCTTTCAAAAGTCGCTTTCAATATTATGCACATTGAAGTACCACGATCCCCGAGTAAATTGCCATCGCCTAAGTGCACGTAATCAAATCCGAGTCCAAAATAGATAATGAAACGTTGAGAAGAAAGCAAAAAAGAGAAGCTGGCACTTGGAAACGAATTCTTTCAGGACAATTACAGAAAATCTTACATCTAGAAGACACATCAATAAACGCGAGCCCATGCCTGTCGTGAAGCGATTTTCCGAAACAAGACAATTTTATGTGGTATTCATGGGGCTTCAAGTGAGGACCGTAGAAAGTTCAAGCCGCCTAAATTGCTTTTACCGACTCCAGGAAAACACAAACATTGAGCTGACGTAAGGCAAACACCAGTCAACCATATTTATCACATTCGTTTCCCATTTGTAGTGTTTAGACCAGGTTTCGAAACATTTTCGTCCATTTCCTCGAACGTCTTAATGCGCAGATCTTAGAAATGCCTGGGGGGTACTTTTAAGTTGATATTGGCCATATTCCGTAACCAAAATTATGGGGAGAATTTCGTCACAGGCCCCAGTTTTTCTAACGCATATTTGGTGAGTGTTTTTAAATCGCGTCCTCCTCCTTATAATTACCTGCACAATAGAATTTGTCTGAACGATATCCTTGCCGACAGCTACAGGAATAGGATCCAAATGTGTTTGTACAAATCATGTTGGAAGGGCACGAATGACTAATTGTGCATTCGTCGTTATCTGCGAGAAAGAAGACATAAACATGTGTCTTATTTAAAATCAATATGGATGTCAATCAACACTTACTTATTTTTAGGATAAAAATTGATAAAATCTCTTACCCACGCATTTCTTTTGTGTTTTATCGAAACTAAATCCATCCGGGCAGTTGCATTTGTATGATCCAAAAATGTCCTCACACACTGCGGTATCACCACATATCTCCCTTTTCTCGCATTCATTTACCTCTATGATAATAAATGTCCACAGATAGTATAAGTGTACAGTGAGTCAAGTATTCATAGAGGGTTGAGCTCTCTGATAGGACATTTGACGCAAAGTGGGAAAAGAAAACCATCAGAAAAATAAGTAAGTTATTTTGCGGTGGGAAAAAATGTGCCCTTGGTCCGGCCCTAGGCCTTTGGCCTCGAGCCTTGGTCAAGAGTTCAAGCACAGTGTGTTATCATTAGGACATTTTCCCGGCCAGTGAATTCGAATAACATATCTTACAGATCTCATTTTATGGTAAAATATATTCTTGTTTATAGCAGCTTGCTCATTTATATTAACAGGTCACGTTAACCAAAAGTCACCGTAACAGTTCTTTCCATCGTCCTTTTTACTCTCGAAGCCAACTTCACAGTTGCAGCGGTAAGATCCCGCAGTGTTTGAACAAACGGAGTTTGAACCACAGATATCTTTGTTCAATTTGCATTCATTCGTGTCTGGAAGATGGGGAAAGAAGACATAAAGTTATCATTGCACTCACGGACCGAACAGGAACTTTTCATGCGCCAATCTTGAAAACTTGAACTAAGTGTATGCGGTATCTGAATCAATTAGCAACGGTCCCTACAATTTGGAAGTGCTCAACCGTTCTTTCCACCTAGCGGGAGTAAGCTTAGCGGCTAAATCACTAAACAAACAATTTTTCATGTGAATCTGTCCGAATTTAAATCCAAATTGCCTTATAAAATGTTTGGTTTCTGAACTAAGGATAAGCAAATTTAAGGTTAAATTTCGGCTGTAAGCAGAGCCTGATCTCGTTGTTAATTTTGTTGTTGTCGTTGTCGTTGAACTGATAACTTGCTTACAAGAGAGTTCTCTCCTTTTGCATATAAGAGTTAAATGAAGAGACAAAGTGAACAACTGGAGCCATTTTTGCCGCTAGCTACGTGTCACGATTAAACAAGTAGTATATTCACGAAATAGAATTGGCATTGTCGGAGGTAATTACCTCAAATTCAGTCTTCAAGAAAATCTGTCCATCCCGATAATTTTCCTTACTAAGCTTTACTTCAGTTTTAGTATTACACCTAAGAAAGGTAAATGGTTTCGGCTAGTTCTGTTTAATCAAAGCTTCCTTTGTTAAATAACAATAATTAAGACAAATTCCTTACCAACACACATCTTGCCGTTGAAATGATAGCCTTCTTTGCAATCACACAGCTTAATGCCTTTAAACTCTTTACAAACTGCATTCTCTCTGCACTGGCCGCTGGGGCACCGAGGTAGTTCTGGTATGATAGAGAAATACTGCTCACATCAAATTCCATACGCGTTAAAGAGCCCATTTTCAGGATAGGTCTCATCAATTCATTGAAGCCTAAAAAAATTATAAACTGGGATGAAACAGTAATTAGATTGACAAAAATGAACTTAAGTCAGGACCTGTTGATTATAGCCATGATGGCCGTTTATAGAGGTAAATAATTGTGTTCGTTTTGACCTCATCCAAGGCTTGACAACATTGAAGCCGTTGCAAATGATAGCCTTTCTTACTTAAGCATGGCTTGTAGCCATCTCCACCCAATCCATGGGAACACGTGCACTTATACGAACCAGGGGTGTTAGAACACGAGGCGTTCACGTGACAAGAGTCTTTTATGGCGCATTCGTCTATATCTAGAGAAAAATTTACAGCGATAAGCTTACACTGGTGACAGACGTAACATTTATATCACGGGGAAATAGATATGCACTGAGGGATTGTAAGTGGTGAACCGGTCCTCCTTGATAAACTGCCATTCAAGCAAAGGGAGTGGGCTGGTGTAGCTAGACCACAAAAAGATCTTGAATTCAGGTTATGACCAGACCAGTTCACTTTCTTAATTAAGGTTATATTTGTGACATGATAACAATGATTTGAAATAAACATTGATTGAGAATTTGCCAAGAGATTTTTGTTTTGCGTTCTTGTCACTCACAAGGTTACCGTGCACCTTCAGGGGTGTCTCGCGTGCAAGCGATGTAGCGCGTCCGGTTTAAACTGTAGATATCTAAATCCCAATATCAAATTAAAGCTTATAGGACTGGCTATCAGACTATACTAAAACTTTTGAAAAAAATGAATTATCGAATTTTTCACGACTTCTAAATGCGAGCGCCCGAATCACCTTTTAAGAGCTACCAGTCAAAGGGAATTTGTTCCATTGCTCTCAAATTTTGACAGTAGCTAGTTTTATATATAAACAAAAAAAAGCTATCTCCGAATTTTTTATTTCTAAATACTTTTTTTTCAAGAGCGATTTTTGTACGATCACTCGACATTTTTTTAGTCCTATTTCAAAAAATGTTCTGTAGCTTTTAAATGAAATTGAATATGCCAAGTCGCAGACACGTTTTTTTAGCGCTTTGGCCCCGGAACGGAGCCGAGGAACATATTAAATAAGCGAAAAACAAAAGTCACTTTAACATGCACCGTTCAAAAGGAGATTCGGGTGCTCGCATTTAGAAGTCGTGAAAAATTCGACAATTAATTTTTTTTCAAAATTTTAGGTATAGTCTGATAGTCAGTCCTACAAGCTTAAATTTGATAAAGGGGCTTAGATATATACAGTTTAAACCGGACGCGCTACATCGCTTGCACGCGAGACACCCCTGAAGGTGCACGGTAACCTGAAGATCATCTATGTCCCTGTTCTTTCCAGACAGACATTTCAGGAAGTTACGTATCGTATTTACTTTGAAAGAGGTACAGAAAACCAACCTTTACATTGAAATTGAATCCCTTTCTTGTCCAAGTTATATCCATTCCTACAGGTACAGTTGTAAAAACCTCGTGCATTGACACACGTTGTTGTATTTCCACATCTGCTCAACCTCGGTTTTTCGCATTCGTTAACATCTGAAAGTGGTTAGTAGTGAATTAGGCAAGGCACCGAAATCATTGGTTTGCACATTTAATATAACAAAGGATAAGGTTAAGGGTGGCTTGAGAGAGGGGGGGGAGGTAAACCGGGGGAGTTGAGGGAGGACAAGGGCGCGACTTTAATGCACTTGTAGTTGTGAGTATATTGAACTTGTCATCAACACAATAATTCTCAATTAGATGGGCACCCTAGAAACTGGGTTGAGCTGAGTGAGATGTCATAAGCCCCTCAGTTATCATTCCTCCATTAACTTTTATACCGCAAAGACTGTCTGCAATCTACCCATTGTAAGTGTTTTTTTTTTCAACAGCAGCCGGAGGAAGTCTTCCTCTTTGAACTCAATAGAGAGTTATGGTCCGAAAGTTTTCGATTTTCTTCTTTAGATGGCATCAAAAACTACAACATGCAACTTTGTCCTACCTTGACAGCGAAGAAGAATTCCTTTATCACCAAACGTTGGCTCAAACCCATGTGGGCACTTACATTTGTAGGACCCAGGGTATTTATCACAGAAGGAGTTTTCTGCAGCACAGGGGGGAATGCATTCCTTTATCTCTATCGATTTGGAAAACCAAGTAGACATTAAAATCGAGCAATACTGAAGTATGGCAAAATTTGAGATAAAAGTCTAATAAATGTGAGCAGGGCTTATTTTGAACCATCACGCTGTCAATTCTGACTCCACATCTGTCGAGACCTTTGACCATTATCATTTGATATGATGTAGAAAAATCCAACTTTACAAACTTCGAACGATGATAAAAAATAAAGGTAGAGGTAATGATTATATCAAAGATGATAATATTAATAATGATTATAACAGAGTAAGGAAATTACCTTCGCATTTGTTTGGTCCAATTTTTCTGAATCGATCAGGGCACACACATGCGTAGGATTTCTTCCTGCTGACGCATCTCAAGTTGCTTGGACAAATATTAGGTTTTTTACACTCATCAGTGGCTTGGATAAAAAAAATTAAGAATTTTCGATGAAATATTAAAATGAATACCTCTTATCAATGGAGTTTCACCTTCAAAAAATGTTTGATAAATTTCTAGAAGGTAAAAATTGTAATCTGTTGTATGAATAGAACTAAATCGCTGCTTGTCGCTGGATCTCCTGCTGCAGAGATGCATGCTGGTAAATATTAAACATATTGCAACATTTTAAAAACTAAGAGGGTTGGCCCTAGAGTTGACAACTTGTTCAAGTGAAAAGTATTGACTGCCTATTGGAATTCTAACCATAAGCTGGTTGATAACGTGGAATCTGTTTTTAAGTTTTCCAGCAGTGAGTTATCTACAATGATATATTTAAAGGAGTAATTAAACAAAGAAGTGTTCAAGAAGAATACATTTACTGCAACCAAGGATGCTATATTGTTACCTAGCAAGGGACCATTGTAGATTTCCACTTCACGGAACTGAAGTTCCAGACCTCCATTTTGAAGGGCAAGGGTAACAAACCTTACTTTGACGTTTTTTGAAAGAGTTATAGTCTGAACGGGTTCTTCAGTTGGAGAATCCAGTCTAGCTACACGACGTCCTCTCCCAAAAGCATTTTCACCAGAATCTGTCAATGATAAAAATAATGTGATAAAACTTAAAACTGACGAATTTCTCAGCAAAGCGCTTATTCTTAAGTTAAACCTTATCTCTTCCACGTGGAATTAATTCCAAAAAAGAAGCAATAATGAGTAAGCTATTGATGAAGATGATTCACTTGCAGGGGGAAGCCATGTTTACTCACCAATAAGAATTTTTAAACCTCTGAGGTGTTGCGGTTTGTAGCCTGAGGCAGTCAAAATACGCACCAGATGGATTTTGCATAATGCTATTAAATCAACCGACCACCATTGTATTTCTTTCGAGCGCGGTCTGACCCCAGTGGAAAAAGGTTTGTCTAAAATTGAAAAGTAACAATGGTCAGTCACTCAAATTAGACAAACATTTCTTCAAATAATAATTTTGCAATAGTTTGAGGATACTGGCCAAAAAAAGATTTACTAAAATGTCTTTAATGGCAGCTTATTGTAAAATACATCTATCATACGATTAGTTGGACTCCCTACGTAAATTCGTCACCGTCTTTCTTTTATTGTTGCTACACTCACCAAGCTTCTGATCGTTGCCTCTGTATGACTCCTTTTCGTTTTTCGAGGACTTTGTGGGACGCTTTCCTGCTAGGTTTACTAAAAGAAATAAAATACAAAGAGTGACCGATACAATCATTGAACATTACAGCTCTTTCTAGAGCTTTGTGTAAGAATCCTGGTAAAAATCACCGAGGTAAGCGTATTCTTACTTATCTTCGTTTGGAAAACCTCCACTTCACAGAGCTGTATATATTGTATAAAGGCGGTTGACCACGTGATCAGCAGTCTAGTTCCAGTAACTGGCTGACCACATTCAAAGTAATTTCCTTTTCTTGCCCCATATGCTCTGATAACGGTACATACTTTGCCATCTAACAAAATATAAGATATTGAGTTATTCTGTCAACTATCAAAGCCATGAGCGTAACAGCAGGGGGAACGATTTTTCAGCAAATTGTCTAGTTTTCGTAATTCTTGGGGAATAAATTATTCAAAAATGGTCCGGAAGCATGAAATTGAACCTTAAATTTTACATTATTATTGTTGACATTGTTGTTTCCTTTTTTTTGTTTTCGTTCACTAAAAAATCCAATATTGAGTATGGTCATCTTAAAAGTATTGTTCGGAAGCGAAACGGGAAATCCAAACAAACACTTTAATTCCAACACGGTTAACTGTAGACTCACGGTAAACGACTACGACCATTAAACAAAACTGCAACTCGATAAACTAAAAACTTTTCAACTCCCTCCAAAAAGTCGCACACGTCAAAATTAAAAGGTCCGCGTGATTTGCTTACGATATTATTAGCCTACGTAGTCCCAAAGCACGCGCACGCGAGTCGCACGCGCACAAGTTCATTAACGTGTTCTTAACATTCCCCCTCCCCACACTGGGAGATAGTCCTAGTTTGTTTCCAACTTAGCAATTAACAGTTCGTTCCAAGCGGAACCAGTTTGTTAATCGGTCTCATGACAGTCTTGACACCACACGCAACTTTAGCTACACGGGTGTGGCCATCTCGTCCAGGATACACTTCAATAATCCGTTCTAATGGCCAACGTCCTCTTAGGGTATCGGGCTGAATTACAAGAACCACATCCTCAACTTTTAGGTCTCGGCACTCTGAAGTCCACTTTGGTCGACTGTTAACGACTGGAACAACTTCCTTGAGCCATCTCCTTCACACTCGTGTAATAATGTCTCGAACCTTTCGCCATCGTTGACGCTGATGCAAAGTAGTGGTTTCAGCGGCCTCAGGAGCGAACTTTCCTCCCATTTGGTCGTGCAAGAAATGGTTAGGAGTCAATGGGACATCGTCTCATGGATCTGAACTCTGATAAGTCAACGGACGGGAATTAAGAAGGGACTCCACCCCTGCGAACACGGTGATCAGCTCCTCGTCGTTCACGTCCCGTTTTCCAACGGTGGCGTACGTGGCTTTCTTAGCAGCCTTTACCATTATTTCATGGGCTCCTCCAAAATGTGGGGCAGCAAGTGGATTGAATCTACATGTCACTCCAAGTTCGGCCGTCTTGTTCTGAAGATGTTTTCGGTCTAACCGGCGGACAAGTTTCTTTAACTCGCCCTCTGCGCCCAGGAAATTTGTACCTCTGTCGCTTGTCACTTCTTTAGGAACTCCACGGCGACTGGTGAAACGGGCGAAGGCATTTAAGAACGTGTCGGTATCCAGTCCCCAGGCCATCTCTAAATGCACTGCTCGTGTTTCCAAGAAAGTAAAAAGGCACAGCCACCTTTTCTGTCGTGGTTTTCCGCGTCGTTGAACAGTATAGAAAGGACCCGCAAAATCTACGGCTGTTTGGGCGAAGGGTCTGAAGCTGAAACGGAGCCTCATTTGCGGGAGTGGGGCCATAATCTGACAAGCTGGCTTGTTTCGTCTTCTCTTACATTCGTTACATTCACGATCCCACTCGCGAATCTCCTCGCGTGCGGCGATAATCCAAAATCTCTCACTCAACTGGCAAAGAGTGAAGTTTACTCCAGCAGCATGATTTCCTCTCTCATGATAGTGCTTCACAATAAGTTTCGTCAC